AAAATTCTTTGCCTCTGACTTTTGAAAAGTTTATAATGTTTCGGTGTGGATTTCTTTGTGTTCATTATAGTTGGGAGTCTGTGGGGCTTTTTGAATCTGGATATCCATTTCCTTCCCCAGACTGGGAAATTTTTAGCTATTATTTCTTTAAATAAACTTTCCTCCCCATTCTACTTTTTTCTTTTGAGAGTACCTGTGTATATTGGTCTAACTGATGGTACTGCATACATCCTTTAGGCTTTTTTCATTTCTTTTCCTTTTTGTTCCTTTGACTGCATAATTTCAGATGACTTGTCTTTGAGTTCACACATTCTTTCTTCTATTTGATCAAGCCTGCTCTTGAACTCCCCTACCTAACTTTTCAGTTCAATTATTGTATTCTTCAGCTCTAAAACTTGTTTTTAAAAAATATTTTCTCTTTATTTTCATTTTTTATGCCTCATTTTCTTGAGCTCATTGAACATCTTTATAATTAGTTTGAATTCTTTGCAGTTAATTCATATACTTGTTTCTTTAAGATTGGTTTCCAGAGCTTTATCTCGTTCCTTTGTACGGGCCATGTTTCCCTGTTTCTTTGTGAGTCATATCTTTGTGTTAGGATCTGCACATTTGAAAAAAAAAAAAAAGCACCTCTTCTAGACTTTACATTCTGGCTTTGTAAGAAGGAAGACACCAATATCTTGGCTAGGAAATTTGGAGGCTTCTGAAACCTTTCTGTGGGTGATGTGTACCTTTCTCTAGACCTGTGTGTACAATCTCTCAATTAGAGAGTTTTGTTGGTTTTTTTTTTAGTTTCTTTTTCAGGACATCATAATCTCTTGCTCCCTCTGGTGTCTGTCTGCAACACTGTAAGTTCTCTGGTTCTACAGCAGCAAGCTGCCCTGCTCTCTCTGTTATCAGGGGCTACTAGGCACCCAAAGTATGCCTGTTCCCTGTCAAAGCTCTGAGTAAGGTGAAACAGGTACCCCCCCCTTGGGCAGCCCTCCAAAAATCTAGAAGGCCAGACTCATGTTACTCCTCTCTTCTTCCTAAAGAAGAACCCATGAACTGGGGTATTGTCTGGCAGGACTGAGTTATGCTGGCTTGGGGAAGGGGGTGAACACAACTAAAATGAAACAGTTCTTCTTACTCAATTCAATGTGGCTATTCTTGGCTTTGAGATCGCCTGGGGTACTTTAAAATCTTAACTGTCTTCCGGAACTCTCATAATGGTATTTTGGTATATATACTGTTAAGGTGGTATCTCTGTGGGGGAATGAGGGCTGGGACTTCCTGTTCTGCCATTTTGCTCTTTTCACTGGTCTTTTTATTTCCTTCCAATGTGCATATCTGTTCTTCTCAAGGAGGCATTTCAAAGCTTGAGACCCACTGTTCCATTCACTGGAAGGAGTTAGGCTCAGAAAAGATGCTTAACCATGCTTCTAGAATGACAGAAGTAATCTGCTTTAACATATTTAGAAACTTTCATGCTTCTTGGAAGATAACACATCTATGTGAGACTTCATTCTGGATCATGACTGTCTAAATGTATTGTTCTTACAAGGTTCCAAATAAATTCCCCAAGAGCTCATCCCAAAAATCCTACTTTGAATCTCTACTACAAATTATACTTTATAGTGTCACCTGTGCTAATTTATCTTTGGTAAAAATCATAACTCAGAATTTAGAATTTCTACCCTTCCTCAAAGCATACTAAAATCTTCCCAAAACCTCTCTAATGCTCCCAGTTAGAATTAATTCATTACATATTTAAGGAGAACCTCTTATGTGCCAGGTTCTTAGTGCTTAGGCTCTGTAGCTCTCAGGACACGACAGAATTTCTCATGGCTTTTCTCTAGTATTTGTGTGTGCAAATTCTTCCTTAACTGGGCTTCTAGAGTAAAGGAACTGTGTCCAATTACCTCTGTGATCCTGGCATCTATACAGTGCGTTGCACATGTAGAGTGCTAAAACAAAGTCTACGCAGCTAGACCAAAAAAAAAAAAAAAAAATCTACACAATTTCAGTTTGCTAAAGAACCAAAAAGGTTTAAGTGCCTCATTATTAGGTGTCTTACAAATCCCATCAGATCTCAATTCATTAGCTTCTTTTATGCTTCCTTCTTATCCTTCTGGAAAATATGTTAATGACTAACTTCTATCATTGCTTATAGGGTATGCAAATTAGTGGTCCATATTTTGGTTACATGGATATCAAACCACTTACCAAAAAAAAAAAAAAAAAAAAGAATTCAAGTGATTTCAAGAGACAAAAATCACCATCCTTAGCCATCTCTACCCTCTGTCTCCCCAAATTAGGAAACAATTCTCTTTCTCAAGTGTCACAAACTCAGTCACAGGAGTATTAGAATTGACAGCTACAGAATAAGAAGTCTAAAGGAACTCTATAAACCAGGAAGTGCATGTATAAGGAAAGAAGGAATAAAGTGTGCTTGGCAAACAAATGTCCTAGGATTATGGTTTAGAATGGAGCAAAAATAAACACAGAACGTGCTAAAATTCTGAGTGTCAAGAAACCACGAGGTCACAAGCAAGAGAATATTACTTAAAGGAAACTCAGGCTTTCAAAGGAGAGGGAGAGGATCAAGCTACTTACAAGCTCCTGGCACATGTAGGCACTTAGTAAATGACAGCTACTATGAGGACCTAAGGCCTAGCTCAAATCCCCTCCTTTGTGATGTCCCAGGCTATAAAACGCCTTCCTCTGTGCTCCCTCTGTAGTCTGTTACAGGCTGCCATCACACTGTTTACTACGTGCAATCTGCATATCTGTTCCCACTCCTAAAACAGGATTTCCCAGATGGTGGGGATTATATCCCATGCTTCTCTGGAAGTGGACATAGTAAGCACTTAATTATTAAGTGAGAGAATAATTAGGTACCTCATGTGATATCTCTTAATAAGAATAGGTTTTGAATAGAAAAGACTGAAGAGCTAGGACAGAAGATCCTGTCTGTAAATCTTCTTACTCATCCCTTCACATTTCAAAGGCCATCTTTTTTGTTACCTGTCCTGTTCAAAGTGTATTAATATTTCTTCTTCCATTACCAATATAGAATAAATTTCACAGAATAAACTCATCCAGATGATGCATGGAACATGTTTTTTTTTTTAATTTCACTTCTTATTTTAAAATAATTTTAAAGTAGGAGATATGTTTCAAATAGTGGAGTTCTTTTTGCCCAGCACCCCCTACTGTTAACAAATTACAAAACCATACTATAATTATTGAAAGCAGGAAATTAACATTGAGTTGGTAAAATTAACTATTTTATAGACTTTATTTGAATTTCCCAGTTTTCTCACTAATGTCCTTTTCCTGGTATAGGATCCCACATTTCATTTACTTGTCAGAATGTCCTCCAATCTTGACACTTCTCCACTCTTCCTTTGTCTTTCACAACACTGACACTTTTGAAAAGTAGCAGTTACTGTGTAGAATGTCTCTCAATTTGGGTTTGAGAGACCTAGGCTTGACTCTTAGCTCTGTGACTTTCTATTTATATAGTCTTGGGCAAGCCACTATCTCTGGGACTCAAGTTTCCTTGTTGGTAAAATCCTGACTTTATGTTTAAAAAAATTAGATGAGGCAATATATATTAAAATGTCTGGAATATGTGACCATACAACAAAGGCTAAGGCTTTTCTCCTTGTTCCTGCCCTTCAGCTGTTTTGAGTAGAATTGTGTGCTAAAATGTCTTACCCATATTTTAATGCCTTCTTTTACGATAAAACAAAAAAATAATTTGGCCCTAAAGTGCTGACTCAGTGTCATCATGGTAAATAGCCACTGCTGTACTGTGTCAACAGTTCCAGGTCTGTGCCTCTGTTCTCTCTCACTGTCGACCCCTCCCAACATCAGTATGCCAGCCTGGAAGGGCCTCCTCATTCCCTTTCTGATTCTCAGCTTGAGACATGGGGGGATCCATTTTTCTGTCATATATTCATCAATGATGTACTAAATCTACCAAGTACCAGGCACTGTGTTACGATCCTGGAGAGGGTGATCATTTACCTCCTGTTCTTGTTGATTTTATGGCTAATGGGGAAATGGTCAGGTAAATAGTCAATTCAATGTGATCAATTCTATGAAAGAGGTAAGGCCTAGGAGCACATAAAAAATTCCTAACCTGGACTTGAGGAGAGTCAGGTTGGGAAGGTTTCATGACAAAGGTGCCATGTTTCAGGTAGGGTCTGTAGAATGTACAGAAATTAGCCAGATGGAGGAGGAAAGACAGCAAAAGGCACGTAGTTTAGAAAGAGGTATTAGAACTGTGTGTGGAGTAAAAGTAAATAGGTTCTGAAAAATAAATCTCCTGTGTTGTAAACTTGCAGCTTGAGAGAGTTTTTGTGCCAATACCTCAGGGGCTCAGAAACTTCACCAGGAAACTTCTGGCCTCAGGGTTGTGTTCTGGAGGCTGCGGTTGACAGACCTAAACCTTTAGATATTACACTGAGCTGAACTCTTCCAACATCTGTGAACTGAAGCAAAATTTAAGGCTACAATTGGCTGCTTGTTTCCATTTCAAAAGTATAACAGGTTTGCCCCTTTTTGACAGAGGAATTTCTTGCTTCAAAAAAATATATATCAAGGGCCACCAAAAAACCCTTTATAAACTGACCCTTTTAACTGAGTTGGCAAGAGAGGTTTTGAGGCTTTCCTAAGCTTTCTTCTGTTCTACAGCATTCATTCCTGTGGACTCAGAGGTTTGGCGTGGAGTCCAGCTGACTCCAAAGCCCTGGTAGTTGGCAAGTGTTACAAGTATGTTATCTGTTAAATATTGGAACTTAGGAGACTCTAATATGAGATTTTCAAATTAAGAGGTCTCTTTGTCAGTCTCTAGTTCACTCTCCTCATCATCTTCACTTTATTTACATCTGGAGGGTAAATAACTTTATTTACATCTGGAGGGTAAATAAGCTGAATTCTTTTAGTTTTCCCCACAGGCAATATTTCCCAAACCGTAACTGCTTCTAACTCAAAGCAGTAATATTGCATACCGTCAACTGGTGTATCAGGAGGTCCATTAAGAAGGTAATCTTGTTACTAAACAGAACATCGGTGCAATTTTCTGAGCAGTTATTGCAGGTGAGGTTGTAAACATTGATTGCATTGCAGAGACACCTAATAGAAGGAGAGAAACACCATTTGTAAAACTTGAACAACTCTTCTCTAAACAATTTAAAATACATAAAATTTTTTTTATATTTTATGGCACTTTTATATTTTATGGCATTTTTATATTTTATGGCAACAGGCACAGGATAGAAGTCACTCTGAAAAAACAAGCCAATTATTAGGTACAAGGCCCACCAGCTAGATATAAAAGCTTACACTTTTTTTTATCCAAAGCCCAGTGATTATTAGTATCTAATACTTGCCTCTGACTAATTTCTTAGTTACACAGAAGATAATGGAAATGTATTTAATTAATAGTCTATCTGATAATGTCTATTTAAAAATTTTTCTTTTTTAACTTAAATTTTACTTAGTTAATATATAGTGCAGTATTGGTTTCTGGAGAATTCAGTGATTCAATACTGAAGTATAACACCGAGTACTCATCACAACAAATGCCCTTTTATTTTTTTAAGATTTATTTGAGAGAGACATTGTGTATGCACGTGTGTGGGACAGGGGAGGTGCATAGAGAGAAGTGGAGAGAGAATTTCTAGCAGACTCTCTGCTAAGGGAAGAGACTGGCATGGGCTCAATCCCATGACCTCAAGATCATGACCCAAGCTGAAATCAAGAGTCAGATGCTCAACCGACTGAGCGACCCAAGTTCCCCACAACAAGTGTCCTCCTTAACACCTACCACCCATCTAGCTCATTCCCCATCCACTTCCCTCTACAAACCTTCATTTTGTTCTCTATGATTAGGAGTCTCTTACAGTTCGTTTCCCTCTTTCTTTCCCACCCCTTCCCATATGAGTGAGATCATATGGCATTTGTCTTTCTCTGACTTATTTCACTTAGCATAATATACTCTAGCTCCATCATGTTGTTGTAAATGGAAAGATTTCATTTTGATGGCTGTGTAATATTCCACTGTGTGTGTATACATATACATATATACATACCATATCTTCTTTATCCATTCATCAGTTGATAATGTCTTTTTTAAGATTTTATTTATTTATTTATTTATTTGAGAGAGAGAGAGAGAGAGAGAGAACAAGAGCAGGGAAGGGGAGAAGCAGAAGGAGAAGGATCAGGCTCCTCACTAAGCCTGATGAGGGGCTCAATCCCAGGACCCTGAGAGCATGACCTGAGCTGAGCCAAAGGTAGACACAACCAACTGGGACATCCAAAATAATTTAAGATTAGATATCTATCACCCAGGAACTCCAAGGCCTAGAACTTTGAATAATACCCTCCTCCCCGCCCCGCAAAGAGTCTGTCAAAGCTCCTCTTCCCAGATCTCCTGGTCCAAGATAAAGACAGATGAAGGAAGAAGGGAGAACACCTGAGGAGAAACTAGAGGCTTTCTCTGTGAGATAAGAACTGCAGAGTTCTGAGTGAGCACCCTACCTGCTTGGAGGCTGTGTAGATATGGATTCAGAGTGTCTCAGCAGAGGAAAACCCTGAGAGTACAACAGTCTAAGGTCAAAATGATCAAAGAAATGTTCTTTTTGAGGGATAAAACAAATTTATGTGCCATTGTTCAAAGAAACCTTTGAAGCCATAAACCCAGTGGGCACTCTTCTGGATACTTGGAACACTAGTTAAAGCCTAAATTGCCTGAACAATCAATGTGGATTCTGGCCTAACTCTCCTGCTTAGGTCCTGTGTAGAAATGTTTTGATGTAGTCCATCAGGACCAATCCTGGAGGACAGTGCTCCTACAGGACCTGAAGCATCAATATCATCTGGGAGCTTCTTTGAAATGCAAATTTCCAGGCCCCACCCCAGACATATTAACTAGAAACTGGGGGTAGAGACCAGCAATATGCGTTTTAACATTCTCCAGGTGATTCAGATGCATCTTCAAGTCAGAGCACCACTGCTCTAGAGTAGGGGCTCTAATTTTGAGCATTGGAATCACCTATAGATTTTAAAAAACATACTTGCCTGCTGGATGAACAGGTTTCTCCGCTGGAAATGCCAGCTGGATGAACTCTAGACATCTGCATGTTTCAAAAGCTCTAGGGGGCAACTCTGATGCGCAAAGTTAAGAACCACAGGTTGAAGGACCACCACGTGAGTATTCACTCACCCAACAAATACCTAAGCGTCTATGATTTTCCAGGCACTGCTAGGTGGACGAAACAGCCAAGCTCTCTGTCCCCATGTGGGAGAGCCCCTGTTGTGCTTGTAATCATGTTTGTCTGACAGAGTTGGACCTTGCTTCATATAACCGTTAGGTTACTAAACCCTGGGCTTAAGAGTATATTGGTTAAGAGCAGAGACATCAGAGTAAGATACATCTAGGTTAAAATCCCAGTTCTGCCATTTGAGATTTTAGAAAGTCACTAAATTAACATCTTAGCATCCATTTTCTCACCTATAAAACCAGGATAACGATACCTAGACTTCACATAGGTATCATGAAGATTAAATGAGTTAATAGTTGTCAAGTACTTGGGAAAGTGCCTGGCACATGGTTAAAAAGAAGTGATAGGCTTCATTCGGTTTATTAATCTTATTATTCTTTTTATGAATAAGGCACCAACAAGATGTTAATAAGTTGAATCAAATTAAGGCATGCTGTAAGAGCTATTATTTCCAGGATCATGAAGTACCTTGTTTACTGAATGTTTTCATGGTACACTGCCATCAATAATGAAAGGATTCTAGGCTGCAGAGCACCAGGAGAAGGCTCAACTCTGTCAGCTTCACTCAATACCTGAGGACTGTATGGAAAAACTTCGGCCCATATGAAATCCATTGTTTGGAAGCTCTCATTAGCAAGTACTTCACAAATGCAAATCAGCACCATTTATCAGATAATACAGATTTTCCGAAATACTGCTTTTCTTTTTAAAAAGTAACTTGTATTTATGATTATAAAAATAATTTTTATTTACTTTAGTTAAAAAAATAGATTTTATACCCAATATGGGGCTTGAACTCATGACTCTGAGATCAAGAGTCACATGCTCTACCGACTGAGCTAGACAGGTGTCCCCTATAAAAATGATTTTTAAAACAATTGAAATAAATTTGAGAAAGACAAGGACAAAGAAATAGTAAAAAACTATCAAGAAATAATTTGGTATTTGTACTTCAGGTCTTTTTCCCTCTCTATTCTTGTAAATGTACATTTATTTGACAAATACATAATGAATATTTCTCCATGACATTTAATATTCTGTAATAATGGTTTTCAGTTTTTTTAAAAAAGCAACGGAATGCTTTCTCACTCAGAAGGTTAAAAGCTTATATAAAATCTTGGGGTACCTGGCTGGCTCAGTCAGAGAAGCAGAAGACCTCAGGGTAGCGAATTTGAGCCCCATATTAAGTGTAGAGATTACTTCAATAAAAAACCTTACAAAATTTTACTCAGATACTTAAACCACAGAACTGATAAAGTCAGAGCTCCTCTGACTGAAGCAGAAGTGGGGAACCCAAAGCTGACTCTGTTGCCTCACCTCAAAAAGCCCTGAAGGGTTCTTCAGAGACCTGAGGGTGTGTTCCCATCAAGTGCAGTAAAAACTTGATGGGAATATAATTTTGATATAATTTTTTATATAATTTTGATATAATTAAGTTACCTTGGTGACTTTCTGACTAGGAATGACAACCATGGTACAACATGCACAAAAAGGGTATTAGGTGAGAAGCACCGCCCTCTTCCTTATGTCCCTCAGCCACTCAATCTCCGCCGATCTTAGAAATCACCGTGGTCGCTAGCTTACGTATCCTTCCAGACATAATCTACGCATTCTGAAGAGGTTTTTTTCCCCTATACAAATATTATCCTACAAGATTTGGAGGTTGAACGGAGTCGAGGCCATCTTCCTGTGGCTCTTGGATGTGGTTGCTATTAAGCAAGACTTGGAAATATGAGGCATTCCTGCAGCAGCATTCCAGGTTCCATTTTCCAGCTTCTGGGTGTCAAGAACCAGTGGGCTTGTGCTACTCTATTTGATTTCCTAATCTCTGATCTCTATCCATTCTGTGGTTTCTGGGTGTGAGAGACAGTTATGCATGGCATTAAGTTATTTCCTTCCCAAAGTATGTTGACCTCAGAGGAAGCAGTGCCCCCAGTGGATATGGTTCGTATTGTTTTGGAGTCAACCCAGTGGTCTACAATCACTTCCAACAATTTTGTTAAGCATCTCATATCTTATTTTAAATCCCCTTTCTGATGAAAATACTTATACTGAGAAATACTGCACAATTTTAAAAGGATGAATGGGGTTATACAATGGATATAACATTTGTTTCCCAATCAATCCCTCACTATTTTTGTGTTAACCTTCAATGTTATAAATAATTCTGTTTTAATAGATCTTTTAGTTGCAAACTACAGGAAGAAAGTTCTGGTTGACTTAAACAGGAAGGATATTAATTGATAGGCTACTGAATATATTGTAGGATTTAGAAAACACAGGCCAACCAATTTATCTTTCTGTTAATTATTCTTGTCCCCTAAAAGTTTTTTATTGGAGGTTTTCAGTTTTTTCTTAATGAGTTAGAAGGGTTCTCTCATAAATATAGTAAAAGATTAATAATGTTGTTAGTATTTTTTCCAGTTTATCTGCTGTCTTTCCTTTTGTTCATGTTATTTTGACAGAATTTTTTTATGTATTGAAATGAAACAATTCTATGTAGCCTAACAATTTTTTTCTTTGTGGTTTTATTTTTCCTTCCCATCCTTTGATTGTTTAAAAAGTTCTTCTTCACTATGAGATATGGTAACTATACATTCGTATCCAGCCCTTTGTATTTATTTTTTCTTGGATTATCACTGTAAGTAATTTTATGGTTTTATAATTCACTATAAATCCATCTAGAATTGATTCTGGCATGTGGTGGGAGCCAGAGCCTAAATTTCCCAGCCCCCTTTAAAGGTCACCTTTTCTCTACTGGTTTGAACTTTATCACAACTATAAATATATTATATATTCCCTGGTTTCCTACTGTAATTGATAATTTTGTTAAACATTGTGCCATAT